AAGAAGTGTCTACAATATCCCAGCTGCTCTCGGTCTCACAAAGCTGCCAGATAACGGCTGCTCTCAAGAGAGAGGCAGTGTTGTCAAGTGGTTAGGGACAGGACTTGAGACGGAGACCTGGCTCTGCATCCTCATGACAGTTGTGGGCCCTGGCAAGCCATTTCCCTCCTACCTTACCTCTCAGCACTCTACAGTGCTGGAACAGGAAAGTGATGTGGAGCAAGAGCCAGGTGGGGCAATGCCTGCAGGGAGGCCCAGTGGTCTGCAGGGATGGGGTCACCATTGGGCCTGTCATGGGACCTGGCACATAGTAGGTCTCAAGAAGTATCCCTGGAGTGAGTCAGCAGAATGAGTTACAGATGAAGCTGAGTAGGCAGGGAAGAGAGAAGCCATGGGACACATGGCCAGGAAGACAGCTTGCAGGCTCAGAGGCAGAGGGAGCAGCCAACCCAAGTTCCAGCTCTGGTCCCGACCAGCTGTGGGACCTCACAACTGCTGTCACCACTCTGAGCCTGCTCTTCCTCCTCTACAGTGGAAAGAGGGTGGTGGAACCTGCCCTGACAACCAGAAGTGTCTGGGCACTACGAGAGGTGACTCAGGCTGGCTCACCGATCCCATGGGGATATACCTGAACACGCTGTTTTATTTGGCTCCTGCCACATTGACTACTTATTTATACTCCGGTGCAGTACACTGGTGTATATGTATAAGGATGGCCATCCTAGAATGGTTTTGAATTGTTACAAAATAGAAACAATCTAAATGTCTAATAATAAGGGATTGGTTACATAAATCATGACCCATCCACATAACAAAATATCAGGCAGCTATTGAAAAATGATGGCATGGTCACGGAAACATAGCCAGGTTTATATTGTTGAATGAAAGGGAGAGGTTTTTTGGTTTTTGGTTTTTTTGTACAGATAGAGTCTCACTTTGTTGCCCTGGGGAGCGTGCTGTGGTGTCATACAGCTCACAGCAACCTCCAACTCCTGGGCTTAGGCAATTCTCTTGCC